GGTATGGAAGTCCAAGTGGCTTACAGAGAATGTGGGGTACAGGGGACAACCATGCAAACGCTAGATTACTCACTTCTGCGGTCCCACTGTAAAATGCAGCCCCAGACAGCAGCTGTCCCCGAGAAGAGGTGGGAGGAAGGGGCCAGGGGTCCTTTCACCCACCCTTCTTTGCTCATCCTGCATCGTGTCCAGTAGGGTACAGTGCTCTACATGGTGGCCTCTGTGTGTGACTCAGCACTCTGACAGCAGCAGCCCAGGCTCGCTGGGGTTCTCAATTCTGGGGAGCCCTTTCCGCAAGTCAGCATGATCAGATCGTAGCTTGAACCTCAAAAGGCTCCTCGTGCCTTCCTGCGGGGCCTGCTCCTCGCCGCGAAGAGCAGAGTCGCGGTGAAGTCACTGAGGCCGGACCTGGGCTGCTCTAATACGTCAGCCTGAAAAATAATGAGTCCAGGGCATGTCTCACTTAGAAAAGTGAGAAAGCAGAAGGTCACAGTTGGATAAATGTCGTGGCTGTGGGACACGCACGCGTGCTCCTTCTGCACACTGCCGGGCCCTGGCCACCAGCCGTCGTGTCTGCCCGCTGCAGGGGCCAGGTCGTGGGAAGGGGGACACGCGTGGAAGGGCACATGTGCACCAGCAGAGCGCGTGAGGGGCACCTGCCTCCCCAGCAGGGGACCGAGCCAGAGCAGCGCAGCCGCTTCCTGGAGAACGCCTTGTGGTCGTGGCTGCCGCGAGGCCACCGCCGACGCTCGGGGACACCGGGACTTTAAGCGAAGGCTCGAAACCCAGTTTCCACTTTGTTTAGAGCATGAACAGATTTCTGTTGTTGTGACGTGCCTCTCACAGGGTAGCTAAGGAGGAAGGGACGTGAGTGTTGTATTCAGTGACCTCGGGACAGGGAGCGCCTGCCAGCAGGGACGGTGCTGTGCTCTGCCCTCAGCATGTCCTGACAGCGGCCACCCTTCCTCAGACAGATGCTGGGGTGGTTCCGAAAGACGTGCGTGCGTGCGTGTGTGTGAGTGTGTGTGTGAGTGAGTGCCACTCCGTCCCACTGTGCCCCCCAGGGAGGGCCACACGCTCTGCTGGTCTCTGGGAAGCCAGCGGCACATGGCCATCACTACGTTGCACAGTCCTCAGTGGGTCCCAGGGCTCCCTGCTCACCCAGCAGTGGCCCCCGTCGCCCTGGCCAGCACACGGTCGCCATGCAGAATCGTGCACCGCCGGTCCCCATTTAGGCCAGCAGCAGATCGTTGCACGGCAGTGTAATGTTCGTGACCCAGGACAAGATGGAACATCTAACCAGCGAACGCTTCCCGTCGTTAAGGGTTCTTTCAGAAGAGGGTGTTCGTTCAGTCACAGACCAGAAAGTTCAAAGGCAACGAAACAATTACAAACGCCGAGGCAGGGCCCGGAGCGGAAGGCTCTGCTCTGCGGTGTGCACGTCCAGCAGGCCGAGTGGCCTCTTCCTTCCCAGTGTCTTCCTGAGGGGCGTAGAGGCCACAGAGCGTTCGACGAAGAACAGAGACCGAATACCTCCACACTGTCGCCCCACGGGGTCAGAAATAGCCACGGCGCGGTGAAGGCAGTAGACGGGCGAAGCGCTCCGCCGGGAGCGTCGGCTTTCAGAGGCCGCCTTCCTCTAGCTCACGTGCACATCGCTCCGACTCCTTGTCACATGGCTTATTGCATCGAGGGCGGTGAGTAATGGGAGCTTCCCGTGCGACATTCTGTGCTGCCGTCTGCCTGCACCGCCCCTGCAGGTGGGGGGGATGCCAGTGACAGCCTCCTTGGCGCGTGTGGACCTCCGTGCACATCAGAGGACCCTCCTCAGTGCGCCTTGTCACCGTACGCCAGACAGCTGTCCGTCTGCGCACACACAGTGGTCCTTAGAGGCGTGCGGCACCCAGCGTGCGAGGTGGCCCTGGCCCACGAGGCCGGCCCCAACCCCGCCCCCTCATCCCAGCACACGCACGTCGCTCCCGGAGGAGGAGGCTGCTCTTCACCCCGGGGCTGGTGTCGTTCAGTGCAAACTGCCAGCACCTGGAGGATCCTCCAGACCCAGTCCCGAGTGGGGGAGGGGCCAGCGTCCCCGAGGCGGTGCTCGCTCCCTTTGGGTTAGGGCTGCTGTCAGGTGCAGGAGGCGGGTGTGAGGAACTGTACTCACTGCTCCCTCATCAGTTTGTGGGTTCTTTAAGGACCCTTTGATTTTATTAAGAGTCGGTGCTCAGGAAGGTACAGTGAACCTTTCGGGGGGATTAGCATGGAGTGAAGACCTCCCCAGATTCCATGTTAAAGTGGATTGTTGCATACATAGCTTGAGCGTGAAAACCAAAAATCCAGAGAAAAAGAGGAGAACTCGTTCTCTGCTGCAGCCCAGCGGGCTCCCCGCGGCCTCGCACAGCCCGCGGCTCCCACGAGAGCGTTAACCGTGGGTAGCGACATCTGTACAGAAACGTGTGTCCTAAATAAATGGCTTAAAATTATGGTTTGCCTTGGGACACTTTTGAAAGGAATTGGCGTAGCCTGGGAGGAAACAGTCGCATTTCTCTCGGCCCCCAGAACCCCCAGGCCTGTGCGTCGGTGACCGAGTGTTTGCAGAGCCTTCTGTCATTGGTCTGTCATCACAGCTAAGAACACGCTGCTGCTAAGCACGTTCTTTGAAAGGTGTGTGTTAGCAGTGTTGGGAGGTGACGAGGTTTACATCCTGCTGTTTGACTTTATTTGACATGCGATGGTACTTACGAGAAGCCCAAGCAATGTCCACACTCTGAACAACACGGGTCTGAACTGTGCACGTCCCTTTATCGCTGCTGCTAAGCACGTTCTTTGAAAGGTGTGTGTGAGCAGTGTTGGGGAGGTGACGAGGTTTGCATCCCGCTGTTTGACTTTATTTGACACACGATGGTACTTACGAGAAGCCCAAGCGATGTCCACACCCTGAACAACACGGATCTGAACTGTGCACGTCCCTTTACGTGCGAATATTTTTCAGTAAATACACTGGAAAATTTATTTGGAGCATTGTAACAATTTGAATAAACTTAGGAACCTTATGATTTTCTTAACATTTTCTGGCTTACTGTATTGTCAGATTACAGTATATAATACATGTAATATACGAAGTGTATTAGTTGGCTTGTTAGGGAAGCAGCTGAGGATAAGTGAGTAACCAATCCCTTTTAGCTGAAGTTTGGAAAAAAGAATTTTTTGTACAAAGAGAATTGTTGGCAAAGGTAATTTTTTAACCAGTCAAGAACAACTTAGATATTAGGAAATATAAAAGAGCCAATATTTGTTTAAGGTTTTAAAATATATTCTTATTAGACTACACGTTAGAATCAGCGTGATAAACACAGACGTTTTCTAAGCGAATGACATCGGTGCCCATTTCCAGCGTCCTTCGGTTCTTCCGCTGCACTGTGCTCTGTCCCCCACAGGCCTTTGCCTGTGCCGTGACATCTGAAAGCACCTTTCCCCCACCTCCTGTCCCACCGCGTCCTCTCTGTCCGCTCACTGCCAGAGCTCTTGCCACCTGCCAGGGGGAGCCAGGGCCCGTCTCGGTGGGCACTCTCTTCCCATAGGCAGTCGACATTCACCTGTTAAAACGGTGCTGCAGCTGCCTGGTGTAGAGTAACACTCAGAGCAGAAATGAAATTCAGTTCTCCGGTCCCTAGGATGAGTGTGGGCTTGTGTGAACCGCGGCCCTCAGGTGACTGGTCATGGTGGCTTAGGGAGGGTGGGCACGGCCAGGCGATCTCTGCAGTGTCACTGAGCGCTGTCCCCTAATCCTGGTGGGCGCTGTGCAGGACACCGCGGGGCATGGAGCCGGCTGCTCAGGGACGCCAGCTGTCAGAAGACAGTTGATACTAGCTGGTCAAGGGCCTGAGGTCCGCCAGAGGGAGCCAGCTGTCCACAGTGCTGGAGGGATAGGTTTGAGCAGCTGCGGTTCACAGCGTCCCGCTTCCATTCCGGCCAGCGCTCACTGACCGCCAGGGGGCGGCAAGGTAAATGGGATCCACAGGGAACAGGGTGCCAGGCCAGGAAAACGCCGTGGGGTCCCCCGGTAAGGCAGCCGGTGAGAGCACGCTGCTAGGCCGCTCCCGCTATGCCCGGGTGGCTCCCCCTGTGCCTGGCCCGGGCTGACCTTGGGCCCCCGGTTAGCTGCGCTGTCGCCCCCTCCAGTCTGCCTAGGACAAATGCCGGCCGCGAGTAGGACAGCGTGCTGGTTTGACCGGGCCGCTGTGTCAGCGCCCCTGGTTTTCCGCCCTGGCCCTGCCGCAGACTCGACAGTGTCCATGCCTCGTGGTGTCTGTTCAGTTACCGTGCACAGGCACCAGACCACGTGGGTGCTCCCCAAAAGCTTAGCGACCAGTATCTCCGTGCTGTCCCCACCAGCGTGGGACTGAGCCCAAGGTCCCGTTACCTGGGATGTAGATTCTCACAGACGATATTTTACCCAGGCTTGTTCTTTGAGCACTTTCCGCTGTGATGTAGATATATTTCTAAAAGCAGAGCTTTTTCAGATGCGATGTGTTTTATCTCGATGAAAGCACAGCTCTGCGTGCTCTGCTGCCCGCTGTGTCTCCGGTCTGTCCCCTGAACGCGCCAGGCCCATTTCCACCTCGAGGCCCTGGCCCCCCTTTTCCTCTGTCTAGCCGCTTTCCCCCACCGCCCCGTGGCTCCCCGGCTGCACCCTGCTCAATCTCCGTGCCACCTCTGCAGAAATGCCAGCCCCGACTGTCCTGTCCAGATGGCTCTCCTTCTCAGTGGCTTGTCCTGCTTTACGTTTCTTCTTGGCACCTCTCACCACCCCGCATTGTGTTATACATTTACTCACTAGTCATTCTCCCGTCCTGGACGTGCGCTCCCTCGGGTCAGCCTCGCGCCCACATTGGCACTCAGAGTGGACCCTCCAGAAACGCTTGTTCAAGGCGTGATGGGAAGCTTGCAGGCCGTCAGACCTAAACGCTAAAATCGCCCTTCCAAGATTACCCTACAAGTAGCTCAGGGCAGTGATGCTGGAGGAGATCTTAAACTGCCACTGCTGCTCATTTCAGCAGACTGCTGGCCGTGGAGAGGTGACGGGGAAGCTGTCCCTTCGCAAGCAGCGCTTCATGCAGTTCTCGTCCCTGGAGCACGGCGGCGAGTGTTACATGACGCCGCGGGACTTCCTCTTTTCCGTGATGTTCGAGCACCTGGAACGTGAGTTGTTTTTGGTTCTTCAAGATTCGAAAAAACAAATATTAGGACTGAAAAACCTCTTTTTCAGAACTGGTAACAGACTTCCCTTGTTCTAATTATCATCACTCTTTATGCCATGCGTTTTCTTCTCATTTAGACATTTCATTCCTTGTGACACAAGTACAGTTAAACTTTTATATGTGTTTATCTAAGAAATACTTGTTTTGTGTGCGGGTTTTCCTAAAGAGACAGAAAGGGGGAATAGGTAATTTTTTTAGGGTCACTAAGTGAATTAGTAATAGAATAATTACTTTATGTGGCATGTTAGTTTTTGGTTGTATCGATATGTTTTAAATCGGGCAAACAAAATGAAACTGGATTGGAGCAGTTAGAAGGGTCAGTAATGGAGCCGCAATGCCACCGGTAAAAACCCTGAAATTAGGAGCAAAAATCCAAAAGCCACAGCTACATAATTTTATGTCATAAAGTGTCAACTCTCAGTTACTTCAAATGGCATCAGTTTTATTACCTGAACTAGCCCCTTTCACTTTGTAGAGTGGGTATGGCCCGTGCTCTGGGCCCTGCGCTGCGGAGAAGTTCTGTGGAAACTTCTTGGCTTCCTGACACTTTCTGAAATGTGCCGGAAGACCTGTCCCGGGGGACGTGGGCAAGGAGCACGGAGCCCATATTCGACTGTGTTATTATCTAGAGCAATTTATGTCCCAGGCAATCTCAAAAAAAATAAGCAGTCGACTGGCAGTTAGTGGAGCTTAACACCCTGTCTGGTCAGGGCAGGAGCTCAGGGGAGCTGCCCAAACTGCCGTCCCCCACAGGCCGCGGCCACACCAGGGGAGCCAAGGGCAGCCATCCAGCCAGACACTAGACAAGTAAACAGGCAGATGACAAGCCCTGTAGTGAGGGGAGCGAGTCCCCAGAGTTGCTGCGCTATCTTCTCTGAAATGTCCAGTTCCGAAAACAACAGGCCGTGCAAAGAAACAGGAAAGCGTCCCCCCACTGGACAACGCCGTCAGACGCTGCTTGTGACTGCAGCCATATATCAGGGGCAGCAGAAAAATCTTCAGAATACTCATTATAAACACGTTCGAAGAACTGAAGTAAGTCATGATTAAAGAGACGAAAGAAAGTATGATGGCAATGGCTCAGCAGATAAAGAATGTCAAATAAAGGGGACACATGAAAAGAACGAGCTGTAACGACACTTAACACGTATTCATATAGTTTTGCTTAAGTTTTAAAATGGCTGTTTGCCTGTAATGAGACGTGCTCGTTCCTGGTTTTTACTTAAGAAGTTCTCTGCAAACAGTAAAAGCCACGTGGCGGAATCCCTAGACTGTGGTGAACTTTAAGAAGACTACTTCCTGAGCCAGAATTCTGTCACTGTGCGTGAAGACCTGTCTGCTCCTACTGTCGTATTGCACGGTAAAGCGTGACAGCCTCCACTCTGGGTCTGCCTTCCCGCTAAGTGTTCTCCATTCTCTGACTTTCGCATGAAAGTTTGCGAACGCGATGACGTAGCCGTGAAAGTGATGAGACTGGATGTTTGAATGCGCATCAAAGTAGAAATAGCCAAAGAGAAGCGTCCCCCCCCAAAAAAAAACTGAAGGAAAAGTTAAATTATTTACAGATGTGTTTTATTCTTAACTAGAAGAATGTGGCTGAAAACATTCAGATCCATTTTCGGAGCCGTCGTCTGGCAGAGCAGACCGGCTCCCGCTGGCCTCCTGGCCTCTATCCTGCGCAGCCCAGGGACTGGTGGCGAGAGGGGGCTCCAGGTGAGACGGCCACCTGCCCGGAACCCCCGCCCAGCCCTCCTCGTCCTGGGGGAGCCTGTGGACGGAGGAGGAGGAGCGAGAGGAAGGCTTCCTCCTGGTGGCTCTGCCTTCTCTGTTTAATCTAAAAATGACCGTTATGTAAGACAGTGGCCCCAGACCTTATCACAGAGGTAATCTCTCTTTCACTTTCTAATTAGTGATGTTCTTTACAATAGAAGCTCCTTAAGTACGTGCTTCCCCAATTTTGATAAACGCGTATACCAGTGACAAGCAGAACTCGGAATGAGCATGAGACGGCCAGTGTCGTCACTGTGGTATTGAGCAGAAGCGACAGCTGCCTCTGTGGGCTGCGCCAAGCTCTGCCACCGGTCCCGGGGAGCTCCCGGAGGCGCGGAGACGGCTCTGCAGGCCCCGTTCCTGCTCTGCTGGAGCGTGAGGCTGGGACAGTGCCTGCGGGAAGGAGCCCTCCGGCGTCCGGGCCTAAGTCCCCCTCGCCCGTCGCCGTGCCTCATCTGCTCTCGTAAAATGGGGATATAGTTTACTAGCCAGAAAAAGGAAGGGATCTGAGTAAGAAGACATTCTGGACTCTTTTAATTTTTTATTCTGTGATTCATCCCACAAATATTTAATCGCGAAGCGCAGAGCTACCTACAGGTAAGACAGGTGTGGGATATGCCTTCGCTGTGCTTCTGGTGCTGTGCCACTCGGCCAGCGCGTGCCTGTCCTGTCCCTTCGCTCGTAGTCCTGAGCTGTGCTGGCTCCGCTGCTTGGCCCAGGGCTCCTAGCCACAGGAGGCGAACCTCACCTTCGAGCCTCATGCAGTTTCTAGTCCAAGGATGTTTTTACTAAGCACAAAGGCCTTTAAAAGGCCGAAGAGGAACCTAGCTGTGGAGCAGACGGAGGACCCCTTAGAAGTAATCTTGTTTCTTAGAGACCGCTCCTCCTCCCACCTCAAGGTGTCAGGCGTTACTTCCTACAATGCTTTTTCGGTTGAGGACAAGGATCCCTCTCCTTTACTGATCTTGATCGTCTAAAGAGCGCACAGTGTGTGGCATACCTTCAAGAAAAGCAGAATAAGGCAGGTGAATCGTGATATCTCCTTAAGTTAATAGAATACGCAAAGGTCCGCAAGTATCACACACTTTCCTGGGGTTGTGTCACTGCATACTCTATATGCACGGTCACACGAACACTTAGATTTGTAAATTAAAAGGTAACTTTTATCAACTTGATGATCTCATGGGATGGCACCTAACATTAGAATTTGGAGTTCTTTGTCATTGGGTGACATACAGTAGGGTTTCAGTGAATAAAAATTATCCCAGATTGGAATACCTAAGCTTATAAACATGTTCATATATGTTTCTAAAATATTTTTAACTGTATTCACAACGGTTTTGATTAATAATGCAGAAGAGAAATCTTGACAGTTTATTTACACTAAATAATAGAATTTGTTCTCAGTAGATTTATGGTCCAAATTAAGCATCCCAAACTACAGAAAAGGCACATGTAAAAGTACTCATTCTTTTAACTCATCATTTGAGTTTTCATAGTCTATGCAATTGTACTGAAGGAACTTCATAGGTCATTTGAGAGCAAGAAGGGAGGTTTGCGAGGCACGAGGCTTATGTGAGAAGCGTCTCCCAGCTTCGTTCCAACTGTATGAAAGGGCTGCAGCCATCACACTGTCAACAGCAGCAGCAGCGAGATCGCTTTAGGATTATAGTGGGGGAGAGGAAAGTGACGTGAGCAGTTGAGAAGATGGCTGAGAACCCAAAAGCGTCATAAATCTCTTTTATTCAGTAGGAAATTATTTAAAGTAGCATCACTTTAGAATGGACAGTCACCTTGGCTAGCCTTTTAAATTTTAACTGGAGAGCTGTAAGCTTAAGAGGACTTTTTAGGGTTCAAAAAGGTGGCTTTCTAAAACTTGAATGTGCATTTTTTTAATCAGTTAAAGCAAAAAGAGACAGGCTTTAATAATTATGTGAAGAAAGAAATCATGTTTGGCAAGAGTTTACAACCCAGACAAGTAAGCTAAGTCAGAGATAGTTACGAAATTCCGTGTCAGCGGCTGGACCTAACGGTGTCATGGCAAGTGAATAAGTCAGAGAAGGACAAATACCATATGATCTCACTCGTATGTGGAATCTAAAAAAGCAAAACTAGCAAACAAAACGAAGAGATTCATAGATACAGGAAACAAACTGGTTGTTTCCGGAGCGGGGAGAGATGGAAAGGTGGCCGAAATGGGTGAAGGGGATTCAGGGGTAACAGACTTCCAGCTATAAAATACACAAGTCATGGGGACGTGACGCCCAGCACAGGGAATACAGTCAGTAACTATCATCATGACTTCGCGTAGTGACAGACGGGTACTCAGCCTGCGGTCGCGATCGTTCAATGATGCATGTAAATACCAAAGCACTGTGATGTGCGCCCGAAACGAACAGGAAGTGGCCTGCCAGCCACGCTTCAGTCCAGAAGGACCTTGTGCATCTGAAATGGGCGGGTGCAGGTGCAGGCAGGTCCCCAGAGGAGCGGCAGCATCTTCGTGTTCAGACTTAGATGTCTCAGGCTCGTAATGTCCCTTTAAAGGTACCAAAACTGCCAGACTTTCACTTTTTAAATCAATAGTGAGCCGTTTACCTTTTAAACAATTTCTTCCTTAGTGGAAGTTGATTTTTACGAAGAAAATGGGTAGTAAATGATGTTTTTTTCTTTGCTACAGGTAAAACTTCAGTCAAGAAGCTGACAAAAAAGGTAAGCAACGTGTGTGGGAGGGATGGGGTTTCTTTCTTTTTTTTTTTCTTTTGTTACAAGCTAGAAAATGAACTTTTCTATGTTAAATTAAAAGATTTCAATGTGTGTGTTCAAAGGATATCGAGGATGTACTGGCGGCAACTCAGACAGCTCGTTGTGGATGCACCTTTTTTAGAGACCTTGGCGACAAAGGTAATTCTGATTGTTGTTAAGTTTCTACCTACGTGTTTTATTTAACCAAAGTATTATTAAGGAATTAAGTCATGAGGCTTGCAGCTGTATATTAGAGAATTACAGTAGAATATCTACACAGAGAATGTTACAACACCATGTTATTTGTAGATGTTTTTAAATCGTAATAAAATATTCGTTAAGTAGAAAGTAACTTCCTCACATTCTGAGCAGTTACAGATAAATTATCCAAGCATCAATTTTCATTAAAGGCTGGAGAGAAGGGACAAGGCAGAGCATCTAAAGTGAGAAGAGCATCCGCCAAAAAGAACTCTCCAGAGTTCTACTACATCGTAACCAGCAGAAGGTAGTGTCTTGACATGAGAAATAATGTCACAGTGTCACCCACCACGAATTATAAAAAGGGAATTGTCAGTCACAGTCATTATGTATTTCTTAAAACCCAGCAGAATTCTCAGCATAATGCCATCCTCAGAGATGCACCACATCAGCGCTGCGACATGTTGTGAGATGTAGACGCGTTCTCGCGTCGGGGGGCGTGGGGGGAATGGGGGTTCCTCCTCGGGGAGCCAGCCTCTCAAAATTACGTTCAGTAGCAAGTCAGACTTTGTAACGGTTCCGATTTAAAACGTCTCCAGAGAAGCTTGGTAACAGAATTTCATCGTTTCTTCTAGTGACACCTAAGGTTCTTTAACAAAGTTCTAAATATAAAATCGAGATACATTGCCATTTACCAGCATTTATTTTACAATTAAATGTAACAAATAGGAATTAAGTTGTTTCTCCTACAAATATTCTGAAGTGTCTGTTTTTCCAAAAAATGTTTTCGGAGGGTGGATGCCCTGAACGCTGTCGTGGAAATCTGTTCTCTGTCATCTGTCTCAGGAGTGTGGGTGCTGTTTCCACACTGGCTCAGCTCTGTGTTTCCTCAAGCTTTTATTTGTATCAGTTATTTCAAAAATAGACTCTGGGGTTTTCTTTTTCAAAAACTTCCCCTTGTGTAAAGACATGGACCTGGGTGTAGAGAAGAGAGAAATTGGGGTCTCCCTCAGCCCCGCGCCCAGCTCCATCTGGCAGTTCCGCCATTTCTTCACATGGCCACATTCCTGTGAAAACTGGGAAAAAGCTCTTCACTTCGTTGTGAGGCCGCCAGGGAGGGACTGCTTTGTTCCTTCAGCCAAGATCAGAGACACGACAAACACTCAATGTGTTCTCCCTTCACATAAACACTGAATAGTTTTAAGAAAAAAATCTGAAGACTTACGAACAATAAGCGTTTTGTTAAAGAGAGGCACACCTGCTCCAGAATAAAACTGGCAGCAGAGAAGCTGGAGATGCAAGTAAAAGTCGGCCATTAAGAACATTTAAAACATGGGCCTGTTTCTTTACAACTGAAACACCGAACAGCTTTGCCCCAGTCTGCGCTCCGTGTGGTCGGGAGCCAAGAGGGTGGGTTTCACCACCCCCCCACCCCCGCTGCTAGCACCTGCGGCCTGAGTCCCCATCTCTGCGTGTCATCACAGCCGCCTTGCCCTCCGCGTCTTCCATACGATGTGGATTTCAGATGGCCTCTCTTTAATTTTCATGTTCAGCTTCATCTGTCTGATGTGGGTTTCCCACTCACATCACACCTGCTCCATTAAAATTTTTCCCCATCCTTCAAAGACCATTTTTAGAATGACACCTCTGATCATTCAGACTCTGGAGATGATAACTCTTATTCAGTATCTCTCAGTGATACTTAGCATTGTCTGTAAACATTTGCATTTTGGCCTCCTGGTGTATAAGGCACAGTCTGTTGAGAATTCTTGCCAGGAATCAGACTTGCATCTGAGCACAGCTCCGAAACTAAGTACCCATTTGTAGAAAATGTAGAAGTTAGAGGAGCGTGTGAAACCACACCAAGTAGAAGCAGCCATCAGAACTTTCTAGACTATAAGAGACTTTACAGGACAAATGGCCAGGCTTCTTCGACAAATTTGTTGAAAGAGAGAGAGAAAGACAAGGGAGAACCTATAGATTAAAAGAGATTTAAGACAGAGAGAATAAAAGAAAAATGAAAAACTTTTGTAAATCAAAGTACACTAACAAGAGAAGAGGCAACCCACAGGATGGGAGAAAATATTTGCAAATCACATATAGGGGGCTACCATCCAGGATGTGTAAAGAACTCCTGCAACTCGACAGTAAAAAACAAACCAGTTTAGAAGTGGGAAAAGTGGAATAGACATTTCTGAAAGGAGATACACAAGTGGTTAATCCACACATGAAAAGATGCTCAGCATTAGTAAACATTAGGGAAATGCAGATCAAAACCACAGTGAGATACCACTTCACACTTATTATCAAGAGAAAAATAGAAAATAACAAGTGTTGACAAGGATGTGGGGAAATTGTAATCTTTGCACATTGCTGGTGGGAATGTAAAATGGTGCAGCCACTGTGGAGAACAGTATGGCGGTTCCTCAAAAAATTAAACGTAGAACGACGGTTCGATGTGGCAATCCCACTCCTGGGTGTTTACCCAAAAGAACTAAAAGCAGAGACTGAGCCAGATAGCAGTACACCAGTGTTTGCCGCCGCACTAAGCGCAGTAAGCCAAAAGAGGGAGCAATCCAGACGTCCATCAGCGGATGATGGATAAACAACAGGTGATGTAACTGATTGTAATTAATAACACCGATTTTAATAACATTAAGGAATTATCGATAATTTTTTAGGGGTGGTAAATATAACTGGGGGCAGAGGGGGAGGGGGAATGGTCCTTTAGAGATGTAGCCTGAATTCTCTGCTGTGAAATGAGGTGCTCTCTGGGGTTTGTGCGGGAGGGGGAGTGAGCGGGATAAGATAAAACGTGAAGTGATCGTTAATGAAGCGATATATATAATTATTCATCACATTATTCTCTCTACTTTTGTATATGACTGACGTTTTCATCATAAAGTTTTTTCTTGTATGGTTTGCTGTTACACCAAGCTCATGCTCCAGGGGGAAATTTTTTTAGCTTATCAAGAAGCATGATTTATAAGATATCGTTTCCATATGTATTGTGATTCTTTTCATGGCGAGCACATAAAACGGAAAGGAAGTTGATTTCGTGGCCTGACGGAGCCCGCCACTTAAGGGCTGGCCCCTTCCTCAGGCTCTAAACCCTGGAGCTCTGGCATTTCTGGCCCTCCATGGCCCCACACCCTAAGGGACACGTTCTTATCATCAAAGCCCCCGGCGGGGAGGGTGCGGGAGACGAGTGATCAGCCCTCTCTGCGACACCCCACCCTGCGTGGCTACCCGTGGCTTGCGGCTCGTCCTGGAACGAGCCTCGGCCCCAGACGGACGCAGCCTGCCCTGGGCTTGGCTCAGCAGGGCACAGTGACGGCCTCTGCGGGGGCCACACCGTCCCTCCCACGCCCCTCCCACGCCACACTGGACATGGGGGGACTTGGTGCCGCAGGAAAAGCAGCACCAGCTCGGAAAAGGGACGGTTTCGCTGCACCTGTCCGCCCGCCCGCGCCGGGATGCGCCCCCCATCCCACTCCCTTCCCTCCTCTCTACTCCCCTCCGTCCTGGGGGTTCCCACCGGACCAGACAGGTGACTGATGTGAATGCATGTTTGTGGGGAGCGGCTCCATGGTGCCGTGGGGTTACCCTGACGCGACTCCCGCCGCCTCCGTCTCTTGCAGGGCTGATTTCCTACACCGAGTACCTGTTTCTGCTCACCGTCCTCACCAGTAAGTAGCTGGCGCTTCTTACCACACAGCGTTTGCAAGCTGAGTGTATGTCTCTGTCGTCAGCAGCATTCCTGTTGCCTTAGTTTCTGTACCTACGAAAGGACAGATGAGGTTAGCTGCCTTCTGTGCGCCATGGCTCCTTCGCAGAAGGCTGGTGGACAGAAGCGTCAGACGTAGCCCTCACCTAGGGACAGTCTGCGAAATCCCCACTGGTCTTCTCACTGTCAGGGTCATGAAAATTAAACAGACAGAAAAATTGCCACAGCCTGGAGGAGACTAGGAGACATGACAACTAACTACAGCCTGGCTCCTGGTGGTTGATCCTAGAATATGAAAAACGGCAGTAGTGGAAAAACATGAACCAAAGTCCATAGTTAAAAAATCCTTTACCAGTGTTGATTTCTTAGTTTTGGTAAAGGCGCCGTGGTTACGCAAGATGCTGACATGAGAGGAAGTTCGGTGGACGGTATGTGACAACTCACCATACTGTCTTTACATTTCTGTAAGTCTAAAATTATGTCAAAATAAAAAGAAAGGGAAATAAAGAGTAGTAATCAATATGAAAGTAGCCACAGTCCCGTAAGAACATAGGAAAGCCACAGAAATAACATTCTCAAATCTGGCTTTGAAGTCAGAGCACTTAATGGCAGAATAGCAGCACCCACAGTAGAGCACCGGCCCCTGAAAGCCATCAGCCCACGAGGACATCGTGTTTTCTCTGTTGAGGCACTTGTTTGTGTCGTTTCTGGTGGCTCGTTTCAAACGTGAAGATCAGTGTGGATCTGCAAGTAACGTGCATGTCGGCAGCGTTTGGCTAGTTACCCACTTCTCATTTGATTGCAGAACCCCACACTGGCTTTCACGTTGCTTTTAAAATGCTGGATGCAGATGGTGATGAGATGGTGGAGAAAAGGGAATTTTTTAAGGTAAGGAGATTCTCATTATTTTGGGTTTATCATAAAATACCTGGCTATTTGTACCATAATTTCACATTTCCATAAAAATCAAAATTATATCCACTTCTTACATATAAAATGTCAAGAAGTCACTTGTACGTTCACAAATATTAAGTGTTCTGTAACACGACCTTGAGGAAACGGTTAAGGAACAGCATGAGATTCCAAAAAGGAAAGAGCTTAAGCATTTACATTTTTTAGGGTTTTATTTTTACGATTTCAGCAAATGATAATAGAAAGGGCTTCAGAGATACGTTAAAATGATCCTTACACCCTCCCCTAACCTCACCCAAAAAGGGATAAGAAACAGAAAGGCCTTCAGAAAGAAGAGTGGAAAATGGGAAAGCCACAATAGGTGTAAGTTGGTGCGTATTTCCCAGGAATTTGCTAAGGCTAGTATTTGAAAAGCCGAAAATACGTTTAAATGACATCTCCCAAGACACAACTCTGGGGCATCATCCAGCGCGTTTCACTTCATCCCAAGAAGGTTGACGGTGGTATTAAAACATGCCTCTGCCCGTGAAGTGCTGGGCCCGTGCCAGGGAGGGCAGGAGTCACTGCTTTTACTCTTTTAGAGAGCTTCTTGGGGAAAACGATGTCAGCCCCAGTCACGTGCTTCATTCCTGCGTCTCCAGGGCGCTGGGAACACAGACAGCCAGGCCCGTTAAAGTCACATTGAAGGTAGAGCGTCCGTGCCTGCACTGTCCAGCGAAGTAGCTGGCAGCCACACGTGGCTTCTGAGTCCCAGAATGCAGCTGTGACTGAGAAACTCAAGTTTATTTTAACTAACTTAAATTTTAAACTTAAAAATATACATTGACTTCAGGTATTGGCAGCTTTTTAAGTATGTTTGAAACAACCGGGTATATGACGCTATTTACTCATTTGTAAATTTTATGAACTCTAAATACGGATCAGGTATTTCCCGTGAAACATAACATCTGAATTGAGATGTAAGTGTGAAAGACACACCAGATTTTGAAAAAAATAAAAAAGTATCGACTACACGGTGAAGTGATAATTTGGGGATATTAATTAATTTCACTTGTCTATACTGAAAACTGTAGGTGACGAGTTGTGGAACTACGTAGGCAAGGAGGGTAGCAGGTCACTTTGACCAGAACGAGCGGCGGTCGCCATGCAGGTCATTGCACTGCAGTGTGCCAGCGTGTCTCCGGCATAGCACGAAAGGCAGTGAGAGAAGAGCCTGGGGGCAGAGCACAGGGGTCCTCAGGCTGCCGGCTGGCCGTGCTCGGAGCTGTGAGGAGAGTCAGGCATTCAGTCAAGAGGTGGGGAGGTGGCTTCTGGCCTGGCGGGGGACAGCCAGACAAGGAACAACGATGTGCTTCTCCGTCAAAGAGAGATTGGTTCTCCCGTGCATCAGGCGTGTCACACGGAGAGGTTACTGTGTTGAACCCTTACAGCGACCTACAAAGTGTCCCCGTTAGAGGCGACACCCACCCCAGTCCAGAGCCTGCTCTGCCCTCCCTGGCAGCCTCGTCTGGAGGAGAACTCGAAGGAAGGGGCTGGGAAAGACCCAAACCCTGAACTCGGAGACGGCGAGCCCGGTGACCCGGCAGGACGCCCCCACAGAGGCAGCGTCAGGAAGCTTTCCGATCGTCGCTTCTGTAGCATGACTGTTCTGTCGCAGAGCGGGTGGCCTCCCGGGATGAGACCAGAGTCTGGGAAGTGGTGGCACTCGGGCCACAGAGGCCGGGGGGCTGACGGGAGACCGGGAGGGAGCGGGCGCAAGCTGAGGACCGAAGCGCACCCAGGCGGGTGATGGAGTCTCAGGAGAAAGGACCTGTGAAGGGTGTCTCCTGTCACACCTTTCAAGGGTGTCTTTGGGACCGAGACTGAGGAGACCGCCCCTGGAGCTCTGTGGGCAGCTGGGAGCCAGCGTGGACGCCCTTTCAAAGGCGTGGTGGGGACCGAGCAAAATCCGGGACGGGGGAGCAGCAGGTGCAGACTGGACGGCAGTGGGCGAGAACTCTGGGGTGCTGGGCGAGCCGGGAAGGACGTGAATGCAGATGCAGTTCAGGGAGAAAACGTGTCTGTCTGCACAGCAGGGCCTGGCACACCAATGTCACAAGTCACAAGGTGGCGGCACACTCCAGCCACCAGCAGGCGCGCAGGACGGGAGACATGGGCGCTGTTCTGTTCTTCGGGTAGCTCACCAGTAAGGGGACAGCCGCGCCGTTCAGGGTGCCCTCCCAAGGCTGCCGTTGGGTCTTCGCACTCCTCCCTCCCGGACGAGCTTCCTGCTTTGTCCCTCACGGGCCCATGGCACCAGGCTGGGCCTTAGCAGTCTGTCATCAACCCCCACCCCATGCTCCCCCTGGAGTAGTGAACTTGGACGTGGCGCCTACTAGCGTCACGGCTGTTCTCCAGGACCCGTGTTCCCATGCACCGTGCTGAGGCGTGATGGCAACCCAGGGCCGTGTGACAGCCTGCAGACCAGGCGACACAACACGAGGCTGCAGACGGCAAGAGGGCACCTGGCTGCCCACCCCTTCTCAGGTCCCCCCGCAGCGAGCACAGCCTCCCACGGCCTCCGCCCCAGACACCCTGCGCCTCCTGTGAGGTCGCACTTTGACGGAATAAGAATGCGCCACATTTATGGAACACACCCCGGAACCTGCAGCGTTTCCCTTAAATGTTGGGAAAGTTCTCGGATGATCAACTCATGAATTCAGGAAACAAGAAAAAGAATCTTAGGACATGTCACTGATTTTTTTTTTTTTTTTAG